CTCGCTGAGCAGGGAGCCCAATGCGGGACTCAATCCCGGGACTCCAGGATCATGACCTGAGCCGAAGGCCGCCCAACCAACTGAGCCACCCAGGCGCCCCTCGTCAAATCCATTCTTTAGGCCTCTCTCTGCGAGTGCAGAACACTCCGCATACTTGACTGCCTTTGGGTCAGGGGCCGGCTTTTCAGCAGTCTCTAGAGTGATAAGCTTCTGTTTGTTCTTGGCAAGTTTCTCAATCGTAGAGGGATCATCTCAGAGATCAATTTGGGTCCCAACAAGCAAGAACGAGTCTTTGGACAATGGTGAGTTATCTCACCCACTTTTCTTTCACATTTTCAAATGAGGATGGTGAGACCACCGAAAAACAGACTAGAAATACATCTGTGGATAACTCCGTGATCTAATCTGTCATAATCCTCTTGCCCTGAAGTATCAAAAAGTCCAAGAGTATATGGCTCTACACCAATCATAACTGTGACTGTATAGTTGTCAAAAACAGTCGGTACATACTCATGGAGATGTGTTTGTCGTGTAGGATATCAGGAGACATGTTTTACCAACGGCACCATCACCCACAACAACACAATTGTCTGCATTGCTGCAACAGTTTTGTATCCACTTTAAATATTTCAAATTCGATGATGACCTCAGCTTCTCTGCCGGGGTGTTGGCAGCACTGCCTACAGTTGATCCTGAACAACAATGGGTTTGGGGCACTGACCCCTGGGCAGTTGAAAATCTGCATATAAATTTTGATTCCCTCCAAACTACTATAAGACTACTGTTGACTGGAAAGAAGGCTTTCTGATAACATCAGTCATTAACACATAGTTTGCATGCTATATGTATTATATACTATTTTCTTACAATAAAGTAGGCTAAAGAAAAGACAATGTTATTAAGAAAATCATACGGAAAATACATTGAGTCCTGTGCTGTGTTTATAAAAAAAAAAATGTGTACAAGTGGACCTGTGCAGTTCAAATGTGTTGTTCAAAGGTCAATTAACTGTATTACAAACTTTGTGGCTTAAAACACACATGTATTTTCTTACAGTTCTGGAGAGCAGAAATTCAAAAGCGGTTTCGCCAAGTGGAAACCAACCAAGACTGTGCTCTCTCCAAAGGCTCTAGGGAGAAACTCCATTTCCATGCATCTTCCAGCTTCTGGGCTGGGGGGGGGGCAGCTTTCTCTGCTCATGGTCCCTTCTTTCCTCTTCAAAGCCAGCATCATATCATCTTCAAATTTCTCTCTGCTTTCATCACCATTTTCCTCCCTTGTCCTTTCTACTTTACTCTGATAAGGGCCTTGGTGATTACATTTGGGGCTCACCCAAATAATTGAGGATAATCTTCCTATTTCAAAATCATATCAGTAAATTCCCCTTTGCCATATAAGACAACATTCACAGATTCTAGGGACTTAGATGTGGACATATTTGGGGGCCATGTTCAGCTTACCATAGCTGTTGACTACTGTTATGGGTTGAATTTTGTCCTCTAAAAAGATATGTTGAAATCTAACTCCCGGGTGCCTTAGAATGTGGCCTTATATGGAAGTAGGGTCTTTGCAGAGCCTTACAGGCATACCTCTGACATATTGTGGATTAGGTTCCAGACCACCACAATAAAGCAAATACTGCAATAAAGCACGTCAAATGAAACTGGTTACTCACTGCATATAAAAGTTATGTTTACACTATATTAAGTGTGCAATAGCATTATGTCAAAAAACCCCAGTATATGTACCTTAATTACAAAATATTTTATTGATAAAAAATGCTAACAATCATTGAGCTTTCAGCAAGCTGTAATCACTGATCACAGATCACCATAACAATAATACTGAAAAGTTTGAAATATTGTGAGAATTACCAAAATGTGACAGAGACACTAAGTGAGCAAATGGTGTTGGAAAAATGGCGCCAATGGACTTGCTCCGCATAGGGTTGCTGCAAGCCTTCAAGTTGTAAAAAATGCAGTATCCGTAAAGCCCAATAAAATGAGATATGCCTGTAATCAATTTAAAATGAGGTCATTAGGGTGGGCCCTAATCCCATGTGACTAGTGTCTTTATGAAAATGTAGAAACACACAGGAAGAAAACTGAACCAGAAGCCAGAGTTGTGCTGTCACATGCTAAAAAATAGCGCTACCAGAAGCTGAAAAAGAAGGGAGGATTCTCCTTGAGAGCCTTCAGAGGGACAGGGCTCTGGCAACACCTTGCCTTCGAATTCCTAGCCTCCAGAACTATGGCAGAAAAAAATCTCTATTGTTTTAAGCCACTCAGTTTCTGGTCCTTTGTTATGGCAGCCCTGAGACACACAAATACTAAAATTTTTAGTGATAGAATTACATTGTTTAACTTTATAAATAAAATCTCAGATTTCTTTAAATCCCAGACATTCCTTCTTGATAGTAATATTAACCTCTGGCTTTGGTGACATATTAATTATAACGCTTGGAGACTCAGTCCAAATGTGCAGTTGGAGCACCTCTATTTTTTTCCTATTTACCCCATTTGGCCTCTTTGAGACCTTTCAGGACAAAAGGTCTATCATCTTTTATGCTGGGAAATTATGTTGTTATTTCTCAAATATTTCAAGATTCAAATTAGTTTAAATAAAAGTATGTCAGATAAAGGGGCTTAACTGGATGTCTGACGTTACAGCAGGGCTTCGAAGTTGGCTGAATTCCATGAGTGATTCACTTCTCTGATTCTCCCCTGAGGATGTACCTTCCTCTAGTGTTGTCTGTAATTCTTCTTTACCTTCACACCCACAGAACACTCCATCCTCCTTTGCTCTTCAAAGCAAAGAAACTTCTCTCCCAAAAGATAAAAGCAATCTACATTTCCTTACTCAAGTTACTTCAATTTCTGAAATGTTTGTGCTCATCAGATTGGTCTAGATTCCTGAACTAATCAATGCACAAAGGGGTTTGGGATTACACTTAAACCAATCAGGCCAACCCTGTAAGATCTGTTTTCTGGAAAGCACGGGTGACAGTGGTTCTCAAATTTGCCTGCCCGTTAGAGTCACCTGGAGAGCTTTTAAAAAGTACCCAAGTGCAGACTGTTCCCCGAAACCCTTAAATCAGAATTTCTGGGGGTGGCACCCAAGCATCAGTAGTTTTTAAAGTTCTCCAGCTGATTACAATGGACAGTCAGGTTTGAGCAGCACATAGGGATTAGGTGGACTCCTTAATGAAAATCAGGAAACTATTAGAAAAACAGGAGAAAAGTAAATGCTACATAGTCAGTAATATATGTTATAGGACTATCAACTTCTAAGTTGTATTTCATGACAAACACAGAAGAAGAAATAAAGTCTTGAATACTTTAAGGAAACATAAGGAGAAATCGTCTGGAAGAATTAAGGTGATAGTCTTCCTCCCCACTGAGCTGTGTTTTTGTTTTTTGGTTTTTTTTTTTTTAGCAGTTTGATTCACTTTTATTTTATTATTTTTCTTTAAGAAAGCAAAATCCTGTGTTTGTGTTCTTTTCGCTGAGCCCTACGAGCAGCTCTCAGATTGCCAACTCCATATACCCACTTGAATGTCAAAAGCTTCTTGAATTTAAATCACAACTCTGGATCACTCTTCAGTGCCCCAAACCACACCTCCCCCCCCATACTCCATCCTAATTAACAGCACCAGATGTTCAGGGGTGTATGGGGGGCTCAGTTGGTTAAGCGTCTTAATTTCCAGTTCAGGTCATGTTCTCAGAGTGGGGGGGCGTGGGGTTCAGTCCTGCCTCAGGCTCCCTGCTCAGGGGGGAGTCTGCTTGAGATTCTCTCCTCCTCCCTCCCTGCCCCACCCCACAGCATACACTTTCATATAAACAAATAAAAAAATATACACACAGCACCAGTTGTTCAAACCAAAATCTTAGGGGTTTTGCTCTTACATAATCTTATTCCTCACCAAAATCTAATTTTACCTCCAAAATATAATCCTAATTCCAACATATCTAACCATCACATTATCACTGTATTCCAATCCAAAGTGTCTAGACTTCCTAGTGGTTCTCACACTTTAGCACCCATTGGAATCACCCAAAGGATCTTTTAACAGATTATTGGGGCCTGAAATTCTCACTTTTAATAGATTCTCAGGTAATGCTGACGCTGCTGATCTGGAGACCAGACTTCAGGAGTCACTGCTCTAATCCACAACACTACAAGAGCCTCTTACTTGGTTTTCTTGCTTCTGCTGTGGACAGTCTAGGATCTATGACCCACTAAGCAACCAGAGTAATCTTTTTTAAGGTTAATGAGGTCATATTATGCAGATCCCTGCCTAAAACAATCCAAGATCCTAAAACTCAGAACCCTCAAATCAATCAACTTCCTTTTCATTTTCCCAGCCTTATTGGGCTTTCTGCACCTCCAGCATTTCACTCTTTACTGCTTCAGAAATTACCCATTTTTTGTTCCCAGTGTGTGGAAATAGCCTTTAAATCGGACAAACTATTCTAAGTAACAATTTTTGGGGGAAATCACTATTACCATTTTAGGCAGGTTTTGTGGGTTTTGATTAGCGGTGGAGCAGCAGAGAGAAGGCACAACCATTAAGGGCTAATTCCTCCATCAAAATCAGCTTCACTTTTCCTAAACGGGGAATTTTCACATAAATGATTTAGTCAGGTGCTCGTGAATCAAGGATAGATACCGACTCGAGGAATTTGTTGGAACCAAATATAAAAGCTATCATTTCTTAGCAAACATAATAACTAAATATTTAAGTATCACCACCGTTTTACCAATTGGGAACACCATATGCTGCTGGTTTTATCCTTTTCTACCGTGCATAAATAACTTTACCAAAAATCAACCCAGCCTTTCTCAGTCTAACAACTTACTACACATGTTCTGCACACAGCAAAGCTTAACTCAGTTTCAAGAACAGTCCTCTCCGAAAAGCACAGCGCACCTATGCCCCTTTAGTTTTCCAACCTACCTAAACAGATTTTGTCGCCTAACTGAAAAGAAAGAGACGGACATTTTAATTGAACACGCATGAATTTAATGTACTAGAAAAGAAGCCCAAAAAACAAACTAGGAGCCATAACACAACACGTGAACAGCTTCTTTCACCGAGAAGGTGGGTGGCTCTGAAAAGAGCCTTTGGAGTGAAGCGACCGGCGACCCGTGCGAGCGCCGTGTCCCGGCAGGGACTCACTTGGAGCTGGTGTACTTGGTGACCGCCTTGGTGCCCTCGGACACGGCGTGCTTGGCCAGCTCGCCGGGCAGCAGCAGGCGCACGGCCGTCTGGATCTCCCGGGACGTGATGGTCGAGCGCTTGTTGTAATGCGCCAGGCGGGAGGCCTCGCCGGCGATGCGCTCGAAGATGTCGTTGACGAAGGAGTTCATGATGCCCATGGCCTTGGACGAGATGCCGGTGTCGGGGTGCACCTGCTTGAGCACCTTGTACACGTAGATGGAGTAACTCTCCTTGCGGCTGCGCTTGCGCTTCTTGCCGTCCTTCTTCTGGGCTTTGGTGACCGCTTTCTTGGAGCCCTTCTTGGGCGCGGGAGCGGATTTTGCCGGCTCGGGCATAGCGACAGACCAAGAACGGAGCAGAAACGCACGCAGCACAGCAAGGCCCAGGCTACCGGAAGCGCCTCGGTACTTAAAGAGGCCGTAGGCAAATTAAGGCTCTGGTTACGCCGCGTCGTGATTCGCGATTTTTCGGCGGCGCTCGGGCGCGGGCGACGAGATTATGTAAATAAGCGGATTCTGGCCAAGCCACCCTATTGGCCGTCAGGACAAAGATCTGCTTGAGCCAATCGAAGTGCTCCGTAGACAATCCGGGTTCTGCCTATAAAAGGGTGAAGTGGGGCGCTCTGCGGCGACTTTTTCGGTCGTCAAGCGAGAGGTGTTGGCCGCGAGTGTCGCTGTCATGTCTGGTCGTGGCAAACAAGGAGGCAAGGCTCGTGCTAAGGCTAAGTCGCGCTCGTCCCGCGCTGGCCTGCAGTTCCCGGTGGGCCGGGTGCACCGCCTGCTGCGCAAGGGCAACTACGCCGAGCGGGTCGGGGCCGGCGCGCCGGTGTACATGGCGGCGGTGCTGGAGTACCTGACGGCGGAAATCCTGGAGCTGGCGGGGAACGCGGCCCGAGACAACAAGAAGACGCGCATCATCCCCCGCCACCTCCAGCTGGCCATCCGCAACGACGAGGAGCTGAACAAGCTGTTGGGCAAAGTCACCATCGCCCAGGGCGGCGTTCTGCCCAACATCCAGGCCGTGTTGCTCCCCAAGAAGACGGAGAGTCACCACAAGGCAAAGGGCAAGTGAGGCCGGCGTCCGCAAACCCCGCCAGCCCTGGTCTCGAAGGGGGCAACTGTGAAATCAAAGGCTCTTTTAAGAGCCACCCACTGCCTCAAATAAAGAGTTGTTAACAGTAGTCAGTCTTTTGCATTCCGTCTTTGCCAAGTCGTAGGCCGAGCCCCCCAGAGACACGGAGGTGCGGCGTGGGGGGGGGGGTTATCCCTCCGCCGTCGCTCGCCTTTCGAACCCCGAGCGCTCGGCCATCTTCATTGTTTGGTAGAGGGGCCGAATCTCTTTGGGTGCAGCCACGGTCGATTGGGTCCTGTCCTGAGTAGTGTTAGGCGGCCCCCAGACTCCCGTCTCAGGGGTGGGTGCCGAGTGCGCCGCTCGCCGCGTTCCCGAGGCCTTTGCCCAACACACGTGCGTCCCCAGCTAGTGGGGGAGCGGACAATTTCCCGGGAGTGGGGCGGACCTGGTCCTTGGCTTAACACAGTCGGCTGTCTTAGTCCAGTAAAAGAGAGGGACCGCCCTCGCAGCGGCGGTACAGGTCCGCACTTCGGTTTCTGGAGGCGGGATCTTGCGCTCGAGGGGCGGCGGGCGGCGGGCGGCGGGCGGCGGGCGGCGGGCGGCGGGCG